TCTGGGAGGAATATTTGAAAATATATTTCAAATATACTTTCCTTCGATCCATATGGGCAGCCTGCTCCGAGAACCGGCACTCCATTGATCAGGCTTGTGCTGACACTTCCCTTCTGTAAACAGCCTTTCACTGGGAAGATCAATATGCTGCTGTTTCTCATCCTCCAGCTCTTATGTAGCTGAGAACAGAGCTTGCCCCCTGTGATACAAAAAAGAGGGAAAAGGTGTACGTCATAATGTTTGTTTATCTATACACAAATGTTTGAACCGTCATTTAATTTCGGCAATTTTAAAATGAATGGGTTGTTTTACTTTCATTTCGAGTCTTGGCTGATGTATTACTAGCTAGTACAGGGTGGTTATTGTTACATTGTTGAAACAGTCAATACAACACACAGAATGTTGCATTCCCAATTACTACCAAAAATAGCTTGCATTCTCTCTAGAACAAGCATTTCCCTTGCTTTTTTTTTCCTGACAAGGTTAGTTTTTTTTTCTAGCTTTTGTAGTGATTACAGAATACAGTTACAATTTCTATTCCATCAGGGCCAAAATAGGTAGCAGACAAGGCATAATTGAAGTAGGCCTTTCTATAATGTACAAATGAACACATTCTTGACATGTTACAATATGATATAATATAAACAGTCTAATATAAATATAAACAGTATCATCTATAACATTATTGTTCATAACTTTGTAGCAAGTCACAAAGTGAGAGGCTGCTTTAAGGTGCAGATCTATGGGCTTTCTGGTAAAGTGGTTCTAAAGGTATGACATGTTTACAGTAATGCATTCCCTGCATCAGGGTAAAAAAAAATCCAAAATCCTCTGTATTTGTATCCCCCGCTCAACTCCCTTAATACTTACCTGAGTCTTTTCTTAATCCAGCGCTGTGCACATCTGCAGCAGCCATCTCCTCTCTCTCTCTCTCTTTATTCCCAGAAGACAATAAAGACAGAGACAAATCCTGTGACAAGTGAGCAGAGGGGCATGGCCAAGCTGAGCTGTGTGCAGGGGCAAACTGACCATTCAGGCACTCGGGCAGTGCCCAAGGGCCCGGGGTCAGTAAGGGGCTACATGAGATGCCCCTGGTACCTTTCATAGGCTTTTTTGAGTGTGGGCAAGGACACAGGGGCCCCATGATTCCCTAATGCCCGGGGGCCCCATGAGTTGTCAGTCTGCCCCTGGCTGTGTGTGTCAATAAATACACACAGCCCGGCTTGGGAGTGAGCTGCACGATTACGGCCGTATAAGAAGCTGCTTTCTATGAGGGCGCACAGAGAAGAGGAGGAGCCTAGAGTGCCGGCGGGGGCCCCAGAAGAGGAGGTTTGGGGACGATCTGTGCAATACCATTGCACAAAGCAGGTAAACATAACACGTTTGTGTTTTTTAGAAAATAAACAAAAAAACTATTGTAAAGGCCCCCATTCCCCCGTGCTCAGATGCACATTGGTCCCGCACAGATATGTAAACTGCGATCGCACCACATATGTGAGGTATCGCCGCAAACATCAGAGACTGATAACTGGTAACCTGTAAAGGCTTTTGAAGCAACACCTATGGAGATTTTTAGGTTTCATAGTTTGCTACCTTTTTATGGGCATATGCAATTTTAAAGGGTGACATGTTTGGTATCTATTTACTCAGCATAGTATCATCATTTATATTTTATCAAACAATTGGGTATTATATTGTGTCTTTGTGCATTAAAAAGCATTAAAGTGTATTTTTTCCCAAAGATTTGCATTTGACACATTGCTTTACACATTGCTTATGCTAGGAGGTACCTGTCAGTGGACATTGCACCATATTCTTCACATTCTCCTAGTGTGCACTGTAGACTAGTTATAGTATTATTATTCACATTGCAGTTCATTTATTCCAGCCTAGTGGTACAGAACTCTATTCTATGTTACTTTGGCATAGTGATTGTACTGTCTAGCAGCCTGTGTCTCAACCTACCTTCTTTATGCTCATTTGTGCTCAAACCACCATTTATTCAAAAAGTACCAATATTTACCACTAAACGCTCTTGTGTCTATTTCCAGATACTAATTCACAGTTGTGTTAAAGGGTATCCACACTTGTGGTCCTAAAAGTGATTGCAGCAGTTTTCATTTAACCAGGTGCATCAGAGGAGATGAGGGTTATTACAGAGTTGGAGCAACACAACAGAGGACCCAATCTATCAAGCAGCTCCTTTGGGGGTAGTGCTAAATTAATATAATCACAACATCTAAGGCAGTACTGAGACAAGGTCATTTAGCTCTCAGGGTGAAGATGCTCACTTTCCCTCCCTTCAAAATATATGAGCATTATGTGTCAGAAAAATCCCCTCCCTCCCCCCAAAATAGAAATCAAGCACTAATCTGTACCAATCTAAAAATGCCCCCTCTTCCCAGGATTACAAATGCACCCCTGATGAAATCCTCCCCTCCCAGCACAAATTTTTGGCACCCATTACCCCAGCAACCCTTCTAGCACAACCCCCCAAATTCCCCCTCCCAGCACAAATCCCTACTATCAGCACAAATCCTTCCTAATCCCCCCACCTAGCACTAATCCTCTTCTTCCTCCTGCTACTAGCACAAATACTCTTATCCTCATCTCAAATGTTTGTTACTTTGCCCCCTCCCCATGCCCTCAGTGCAATCCCCCCTGCTGCCAACACACATACCACAGACACAGTGCTGCAGAAGGCTGTGGGATGTCCTTCCTCCCAGGTTTCTCCTGATTTTGACATGTTATAGTTGAGAAGGAGCCTAGGAAAAGCTGACTTCTAACACAAATGACAAGCAGCTGGCAGAGAGAAATGTACATGTTGCAAGGGATCGAGGCTCGGGGGTACCACAGGCTGTTAGATTGGGACTTTAGGGTTTGCTTACCTTCCCACTACCTACATTCTTTTCTGGGAGGGGATGGGTAAACAAACCTGCACAGTCTCATCTGACAGTACTTATCCAGGAGAGCTGCAGTGGCAGGACTGTGGAGCTGGAGGGGAGAAAGAGCACAGCCCGCACCTCCTCCCGGCTCTCTCCTCCTCTCCAGATCTGGCTTGTCATGTGCAGCACTAAGCTGGCACAAGTAGTGATGCCAATGTCACTACTTCTGTCACCTTTTAGAAGCATTAAGTCTCCTCATAGTGACCCCCCCCCTCACATGATACCAGCTCCCTGGGCAGCCGCTGCTCCTGCCTACCCATTTTCCTGACCCTAATCTAAGGACTGGCAATATATTATACTTTGTGTTTTTGGATTTAGATATGCTTTATGGTTGCTTGAGTCTATGTCTGCTTTTAAACATGAATAAGATAGTCTACACTATATTGCCAAAGGTATTGGGACGCCTGCCTTTGCATGCATATGAACTTTAATGACATCCCAGTTTTAGTCCGTAAGGTTCAATATTGAGTTGGCCCACCCTTTGCAGTTATAACAGCTTCAACTCTTCTGGCAAGGCTGTCCACAAGGTTTAGGAATGTGTCTATGGGAATGTTTGACCATTCTTCCAGAAGCGCATTTGTAAGGTCAGGCACTGATGTTGGACAAGAAGACCTGGCTCACAGTCTCTGCTCTAATTCATCCCAAAGGTGTTCTATCATTTTGAGGTTAGGACTATGTGCAGGGCAGTCAAGTTCCTCCACCCCAAACTCACTCATCTATGTCTTTATGGACCTTGCTTTGTGCACTGGTGTTCAGTCATGCTGAAAAAGGAAGAGGCCAGCCCTAAACTGTTCCCACAGGGTTGGGAGCATGAAATTGTCCAAAATGTCTTGGTATGCTGATGCCTTAAGAGTTCCTTTCACTGGAACTAACTACACTTGGCACAATGCAGGTAGGAAAGTATCGTTCTCCTGGCAACCACCAAACCCAGACATGTCCATTGGATTTCTAGACAGAGAAGCATGATTTGTCACACCAGAGAACACGTGTCCACTGCTCTAGAGTCCAGTGGTGGTGTGCTTTACACTACTGCATCTGACACTTTGCATTGCACTTGGTAATGTAAGGCTTGGATGCAACTGCTTGGCCATGGAAGCCCATTCCATGAAGCTCTCTACACACTGTTGTGGTGCTAATCTGAAGGCCACATGAAGTTTGGAGGTCTTTAGCTATTGACTCTGCAGATAGTTGGCGACTTCTGTGCACTGTGTGCTTCAGCATGCGCTGACCCTGCTCTGTCATTTTATGTGGCCTACCACTTCCTGGCTAAAATATGGAGTAATTGAAAATACACTTAAACCTCTGATATTCTTGAGTGACCATAAAATCTTGAGCTAAAGTCATGTAAGATAGGTCAGTATTGGCATAATGAAGGACAATACATGACTGGTTGAAATGGGCTATCTCACCTTGCATACCTTAAGTTTCACAAACCATAATTCTTATGTTAAGTTGAATGGTCACCATGTATGCTTGCTTTACATTTTTTTTTTTTATCTTTCAGGTTCCTGAAAATGTATTGATGTCAAAGTAAAATGGGCGCTACTAATGTTTTTTCCCCTTGCTCAGCTGTGAACTTCAAGTCCTGGTTATTCTCTTTGACTACTTTTACCTCGCTATCTTTTTTTATACTTATGATATACTTGAAAAAGGTCTATATCTCTGAAGAAGAGGCAATAATTCACCTTTTACCAAAAGAGGTGGTGTGTCCAAATACTGTACCCTTGACACTAAATATGTCTCAATCCATGGGATTTCGTGGTAGAATCTACTTTGTGGAGACCTCGAACAGGACCAACCCAACCTTCCAAGCCATGTGCGCTGTGGAATCTGCAGCAAGAGCCCACCCAAAGGTTAAGGTTATTTTCCTGATGAAAGGTTTAAATGGCCACGTAATGCAAGAGAAAAATTTTGGCATTTCCCTTCTTAGCTGCTTCCCCAATGTAGAATTTTCACCTCTAGATTTCAAGAAGCTATTTAACAATACTCCACTAAACACATGGTACTCTAAAGCAGAAAGTCAAAGGGAATTATTAGACTATCCAACACTTTCTGATGCTTGCCGCTTGGCCATCCTTTGGAAAGAAGGTGGCACCTATTTGGACACAGATTTTATTATCCTCAAAAATTTTGAAAATATCACAAATGCAATGGGTATGCAGTCTTTATATACACTTAACGGAGCTTTTTCTCAAATTCCGACCACAGAATAAGTTCATCGAGCTTTGCATGAAAGACTTTGTTGGCCAGTACAGTTACTGGTTTTATGGTCATCAAGGTCCTCAGCTCTTGACTCGAGTATTTAAGAAGTGGTGTTCCATTCGAAGGTTACGGGACAAGAATAGTTGCCGAGGAGTCAATGTGCTTCCAAAAGAGGCCTTCTACCCTGTTGACTGGCAGGATTGGAGAAAGTATTTTCAGGTTATTGAACCAACTGAAATGGGAAAGGTTTTGAAGCACAGCTATGGTGTTCATTTATGGAACAAAAAAAGCCAAGGGCAGTCACCAGAGGTGGGAACCTTTCTGGAACAACTTCAAGACAAACACTGCCCAACAACAAACAGAATAATGAAGATGTATGTCTAAATCCAAGGCCTCCAGAACTGGATATGTAATAATGTTGACATATCGCTAAATACATGGGTTGACTTCTGAGATGTTGCATTTTACAAGGCTGAATAGGAACAAAGATGAGCCAATGTGGCCTTACAGTGTTTGAAAATGCATTTAATCCATTCTGTGGGGAAGGTTTACCAGCTTTACCATTTTTGCCCATCAAGGTTATGTGGCTGGTTGCTTATGATCCTCAGTAAATGTTATTCACAAATGAGATTAAATTCCAAGGTTCAGAATCCAAATTTCACCTTTCTGATTAATATAGAATAATATAGAGAAAGAAAAGAGAGAAAAAGCAATTTGGTAACCCCTTTTCTATGTCTGTGTCCTGTCAAGAAGGTTTCACTTCCTTGCCTAGAAACACAGCAGCAATTGAGAGGAATAAAAGCAAGAGAATATCCCATCAAAGACTGTTGTCACCAGAACAAGTGAAGATTTCCTCTCTATTCCTGTTCTGGTGACAGCTAAAACTTCTACGTTCCCACTCACAGTTCCAGTGACAATAGTCACCAGGACAAATAAATAGGGCAAATCTCCCCAGCTCCCCAGTGCTATCAAACACGGCAATGAAACTTTGAACATTGCTCTATCAAAACCAAACAAAAGTTCTGTATCTGTTCTCTGCCAGCTCTGCACAGAGAACTGAGTGATCAAACACCGTAATTGCTCAGTTCTCCCCCTCCGCTCTGAGCAGAATGCCATAACTGTCAGTCTCTGGCTCTCTGCTCTACCCCTCCAGCCCTCACCGGAATGCTGAGCCGGGTAGGGGGCAGGAGGGGCTGGCTCACGCTCTCAGCAGATCACTGAGAGGCTAAGCCAGGTGCTGGTTTAGGCTTTTGGGTGGATCCCGACCATATGGTTGGGATCTCTTCAGAGCTTGGACCGGCTCTGTGTGACGTCAGCCGACAGCGGGCTTTAGCTTGCTGTTGGCTGGCTGTAAATGGGTCAGAACTAACTGCACTCCTGTGATCCATAGGAGAAGTAAGCCAAAATAGCTTTGGCAATACTTCTCCTTTAAGACGTTCGTCTCTAAACTTGTAAAATAACATTTTTTTTTTCTTTTTTTAGCATACCTAAACCTTGGCAGGGGCTATGCTCAGTATTGGCCCCAGCTCTCAAATGTAATTTGTAAAAAAAAAAAAAAAGTTACATAATACTATCTACCTATTTGATCCCCTGCAGATTTTGTAAGTTTGCCTACTTACAAAGAAATGAAGGGTCTATCATTTTTATCATAGGTGTATTTTAAACGATAGAGACAGAATATCAACCAAAAATCCAGAAAAAAACACACACATGATAAAAATGTTATAAATTGAGTTGCAATTCCATGAGTAAAATAAGTATTTGATCCCCAAGCAAAACATGACTTAGTACTTGGTTGACAAACCCTTTTTGGCAAGCACAGAGTTAAGATGTTTCTTGTAGTTGGATGCCAGGTTTGCACACATCTCAGGAGGGATTTTGGTCCACTGTTCTTTACAGATCTTCTCTAAATCCTTAAGGTTTCTTGGCTGTCTCTTTGCAACTCGAAGTTTCAGCTCCCTCCATATATTTTCTATAGGATTAAGGTCTTGAGCCTAGCTAGGCCACTTCTTGACCTTAGTGCACTTCTTCTTGAGCCACTCATTTTTTGCCTTGGCGGTATGTTTTGGGTCATTGTCATGCTGGAAGACCCATCCACAACCCATCTTCAGTGTTCTGGCTGAAGGAAGAAGGTTCTCATCCAAGATTTTACAATACATGACCCCGTCCGTTGGCCCCTCAATGCGACAAAGTCAGCTTGTACCTTTAGCAGAGAAACAGCCCCAAAGCATAATGTTTCCACCTCAGTGCTTGACTGTAGGGATGGTGTTCTTAGGCTCATAGTCGCATTTATCTTCCTCCAAACACGGCGAGTCAAGTTAATGCCAAAGAGCTCAATTTTGGTCTCATCTGACCACAGCACTTTCTCCCAATCCTTCTCTGAATTATTTTGATGTTCATTGGCAAACTTCAGATGGGCCTCTACATGTGCCTTGTTGAGGAGGGGGATCTTGCAAGCGCTGTAGGATTTCAATTCATGGCGACGTATTGTGTTACCAATGGTTTGTTTGGTGACAGTGCTCCCAACTGCCTTGAGATCATTCATGAGTTCCTCCTGTGTAGTTTGGGGCTGACCCCTCACTTTTCTCATCATCATCCTTACCCTATGAGGCAAAATTTTGCATGGAGTTCCAGACAGAGGGCAGTTAATGGTTATTTTGCATTTATTCCATTTGCGAATAATCGCTCCAACAGTTGTCTCCTTCTTACCAAGTTTCTTGCTGATGGTCTTGTAGCCCATTCCAACCTTGTGCAGATCTACAATTTTGTCCCTGACGTCCTTTGACAGCTCTTTGGTCTTGCCCATGGTGGTGAGGTTTGAATGGAAGAAAGAGATTCTGTGGACAGGTGTCTTTTATACACATAAGTTGTCGTTAGGAGCACCTTCTTAAATTGACAAGACTAATCTGTGTACCACATGAGCACATAGCCAGTCTGTGGGAGCCAGAATTATTGTTGGTTGGTAGGGAATCAAATACTTATTTTACTCACTGTACTGCAACTCAATTTATAACGTTTGTATCACGTGATTTTTTTCTGGGTTGGGTTTTTTGGTTGATATTCTGTCTCTATCATTTAAAATACACCTATGATAAAAATTATAGACCCTTCATTTCTTTGTAAGTGGGCAAACTTACAAAATCTGCAGGAGATCAAGTAATATTTTTCCCCACAATATAAGTGATGGGAGTTGACTTTCTGGAGAAAAAAAACAGGCATTTTTAGTGGGAGTACTTTGAACTCTGTGAGAGGTAATAAATGTTTATAAATGTAACATTTATACAATACATACTTAACATTCTGTAGATAACATGAAAAATATATTTGATGACAGTTCCACTTTAAAGAATAAGTTCACCTTTGGGAACATGTTACATGTCCCACCCGTTTTTAGGGTGGATCATGTAACATGTTCCCACTGCTGCAGCTGCTGTCTGCTGCCCTCTCTCCCTGTGACAACAGTATGGGGAGAAGTTCCCTGTACTAGCTGTCACTTTTTGAAAACAGAGTGGCCATGCGTGTCTCCGCCCACACGGCCATTTTGGCTGTCGGCTTGTAGTTCTCAATAAACTACCACAGCACTGTTGTAGTTCATTGAGTCTTCCTGTCAGTTTGCTTGCCCATACGGGATGTACGGGCACAAAGATACACTGACAGGTCTGCGGGGGTCCTGCATGGCACCAGCGATAAGTGAACTTACCCTTTAAATCTTTCTCATTGAATACACCTTGTCTGGTCTCTGATGCCTCCTACTGGACAGACTAAAGTGTAACACTCATTCGAGAAGTTTTCAAAAGCCAACTAACAGGCTGGACAAGTTATTTGCAATACCTCTCAGTGCATCTATGTTTACATATTTTTCTATTTGAGGTTTACAAAAAACAGTAATACAAACAGTCACTAAAGATAATAATATTTATAAATATAATAATATATACAGGCTTTTGCATTTGGCTTCTTTCGTGTTTGTGAATTAGTTTTGGAAGGATCTGGAACACAATAGGTTAATTTACTGAAGGAGTAAAGGTTTTTTTTTTTTTTTTTATGTAGCAAAGTGAATTGTTACTTAGCTTAGTAAATAGGGTGAAGCTGTGTTTATTTTAATACCCAACCATGTGCAAGGAAAGCAAACAAAAACAGGATTTTTCGCTCACGCGCTTCAGCAAAAGCCTTATTTGCCAGGCTAAGTAAACCTTTAGTATTTCAAAGTTTATAGAGCTATGTACATTTGTACCGTTTCTGTTTTGATGCGTAGCATTGGTTTGTGTTTATTTCTCTATACAAGTTACTGTGAATACCTCTTATTCCTCAGAGCGTGATGCTAGCGTAGGCCAAGCCTCAGTGGACTTTGTGACATCACTTTCAGAAAGTGATAGAAAAGTGGCTCTGAGGATCTCATCAATGAAAGTCACCCAACTCGAGATAGGACTTTACGCTGCATCCTTGTATTGTATAATCTGACAATTACATTTTTTACGTGTGTGTGTGTGTGTGTGTTTGTGTGTTAAACATGCATCAGAAATTTTCCAAAAACCGATATGATACAAACAACTGGGACATTTGTAAACCAGTAAGATATGGCTTTCACCAAACATTCCCTGGTAGGGAAATAAGCACTGAAAACACATGAACCTGGATGATTCACCCACAGTGAATGTCAGAATTGCTGCTTTATAAACATACTCTGTGTATGTAAGTTTGTTTTATAAAAAAAAAAAAAGCCTGAGTTCAGTGAAAATGTATTTCATCAGGCAATGACAGCTGAATTCACAAACTAGAAAACAATATAATAGACATTGCAGTCATTTCAACTAGCTTTTTTATATGCTTTTTACAAACGCAGACACCCTTAATTAAAAAAGCTTCCTGGGTCATTATTATTGGTGCAGGAAGCTGTCAGAATTGGCGGGCACCACATTAACTAAGCATATAGACTTACTTCAGGTGTATCTGCCCACCTACGCCAGTTTCTATTTCAGAGTGAAAAAGATAATAACGTAGGCCTGCCCGTAATTTAGTCTAGGTTCACATCTATAAGTTTTCCGCTGCGTTTTGTGGAAACGCACATCAGATCATTTAACATGATTTCCTATGGGACAGGTTCACATCTCTGCATTTTCACCCGATGCGTTTTTTTGGAAAGGGTCAGGAACTTCTTTAAATGCAATACGTTGCATTTTTTGGTTTTATAGACTTCAAAGGAGATGATGCAGAAAAGCATGTAGTGCCTTTTTTATGCCTTTTTGATGCCTTTTTGACGTGTTTTAATCTGCCCAGCAACAAGTTAAAAAAAAAAAGCAAAATGCATCAAAAACACAGCAAAAATGCATGTGCAAAAATGTAAAAGTATCGCAGAAATGGATCAAACTCAAACTGCACAGGTG